TCTTTGCCGACGCCGGGGTTAATCCGTGGACCACCGCGCGATCTAGATCCGGTCGGATCTACACGATTATGCGGGTATTATTCCACGAAGGGAATAATAGCCGGGAGGGATTAATCCACCAAGGGAATAATCGCTCAGATCTCGAGATCTAAGACCAAGCTTAGATCTGGAGTGTAGTCTCGTGTAGATCTCAGATCTGTTCTTTCTTCCTCTCGAGATCCTGCCTTTTCTGACGTGGATGGTCGCCGAGGATCAGATCCGAATGTGCAAGTCTTCTGGTCTTCAAAGCTCCGAGTTCACTCTTCAATCCAGCAGAGTTTCGGCTCTTGAAAGTTCGACCTCCGAAAATGAATATCTCTAGGCCTATTTATAGGCTCTCAGGACAGTGGCTGCAAAAAGGGAAAAATCGGCCACCTTTGGCCACTGTCGGCCCCCTCGGGGTGGCCGGCACTGTGCCTAGCCACGGCTGAGCCACCCCAAGGTGGCTCGGCCACCGAGCCACCCCGAGGTGGCTCGGCCTTGGCCGAGCCACCCCGAGGTGGCTCGGCCACCGAGCCACCTCAGGGTGGCTCGGCCTTGGCCGAGCCCCCGCGGGCGGTGTTTTCCGACTTTTTCGAGTCGTTTTCCGTTGGTTCCGGTTCTGTCCGTGATTCGGTTGATTGAGATTCTGATTGGTTGATCTGATTTGGCAGTAAGTTGGATTCCTGATTTGGCAGTAAGTCCGCTTCTGAGTTCGAGTCCGAAATTGATCTTGATTCGATCGTGATTCCTCCGAGTCCGCTCTCGGTTGGATGACTCGTTGATTCCTCAACTCATTAGCTTGATTCTGCACGCGGGTGGATGCATTCCGTCGCTTCTGTGCGATTCGTCGATCTCGTCGCCTCGTTGGTTCGTCGGTTTGTGCCGAGCTATGCTAGGGGACCTATAAGCAATTTTATATGCCTACAGTTGTAACATTAACAACTAAGCCATAATCATAACAACTAAGCCGTAACCTTAACAACTAAGGCATAACCTTAACATCTAAGTTGTAACGTTAACATCTAAGCCATAACCAAAACAACTAAACTTGAGCCTTAACAATTAAGCCATAACCTTAACATCTAAGCTATAACATTAACAACTTCATCGTAACCTTAACAAGTAAGCCTTATGCTTATCATTTAAACCAAAACTGCTAATACAAAACGTTAGCATTTAAAAATATGGTTCGCAAATAGATAGGCTCATTGCATGTTTGTTGATTGTGACCTTCCATGCAGCATCAGGAGCACTTAACCAGACATGTGTTTATTGATCTATTGTTTATGCGTCTGGTACATGGTCTTCCAACTCTTTTTTAGTAAGGAGAAGCTTTAACCGATGGTATTCTGGCGGTACGACGCACTTCTAGTAATCTAGAATAGGAAAGATGATGGGTATATAACTTGCTCTGAATGCTTCAACAGTCATAAACCAATCACAATATTGATAAATATCTCATCCCATCCAAGTAATTGCAGCACAAGCATTCTTACAAGGAATGCGTGAGATATCCAAAGACCTGCATGAAAATGTTCGATTCCTCAAATCTATATGGCATGTTTTATTAGATTCAACTTTCACGATATCTTCTGTCAAATATTTAATATGGAAACAACATCTATGATGAATATTATCACTCAATACTATCTCCGCTTCTGGACATAAGTAACCAGACCATTTCGTAGCCATAAGCCTTCTTTCATGCATGCGCTCCATGATTTGCTTTCGTATCGTCTCCATCAAAGGTAAGATTCGTAACATTCTTGTCTTTCCTATCCATCTGTTGAAGGACTCAGCAACATTCAAAGCAATATGGCCACACCTAAAAATCACATAAAAAAATCATAAGTGTGACAAATTAAGTCGAATCTTGACAACTAAGACGTAAACATAACAATAAGTGGTAACCTTAACAACTAAACCCTAACCTTAACAACCACTATGTAAACTTGACAACCATTCTCAAAAGTTAAAAACTATATATAACCTTAACAACTATGCTATAGCTTTAACAACAAAACTGTATCCTTAGCGACTAAGCCGTAATATTAACAATGAATCTGTATCCTTAACAACTAAACTGTAACCTTAATAACTAAATTATAATCATAACAACTAAACTACAAAATAGTATCATACCTTATACTTAGAAAATAAGCATTTGTTCATCTTTCTAGAGAGTAATTCATTGTAGTCACATAAGCCCCTTCATCTATCAAGGACAATTCTTTCATGTTATTATCTCATTTGGCCATTGTGTACTTATAAGCCACGGTTTGTAATAAATCACCTAATATTTAAGTGACATTTGCTTTGTGACCCAACTCCTTCATCTTGTTTTTAAAAATTCTCGACTAGATGTAGAACACACCTTGAATGGAATGCATTTGGAAAGAATTCCTCGTTTGCTACCCTAATACCCTTCTCTGCATCAGAAATAATGACAAGCTGATGTGGAGGATTGTAAGGATTTTCCCTATCATAAAGTATTGTCCATACTCCTTGTAAGAACCATTTTCAGTTCTCATCATTCTCCTGGTAGCATACGCAATAAGCAAGAGGAAATATTCTTGGTTGTCATCATATCCTGTGGACTAAGTAATATATATTTGTAGCAGTCTTTAAGGAATGTTCCATCCAAACACAACAGAGACCTACATCCAGCAAGGAACCCTTCAATACAAGTATTATAACTTATGAACAAATGCCTAAACATGCCATCATTATCGTTAATGACAATACGGCTTCCTGGATTAGTCACTAGAACCATAGATTCATGCCTGCAAAAATATAACAAGTAATAAGGTTAACAACCAACTCATAACTTTAACAACTAAGTCATAACCTTAACAACAAATAGGAAATTTGTAATAAGATAAATTTTACCATTTTAGTGAATCGTAAGCCTCATCATCATCACTGAACAGGCCCCTCTGTGTTCTCACTTTGCTATGCTATGCTTTGCTGTAACTAATCTTGATGTCGTACTATGAGAGCAAGTCGTTCTTGATATCATTGGCCGAAGATCTAGCCTAACCTTCAAAACAGATTGTATTTGGATTACAATGAACTTGTGTGATGCCATTGAGTTAACAACATTACCTCCATGTTGACCGCAAGTGTGAGTTGCTTCAAATTACTTTATAGTCATAATTGAAGAATTACAGAGTGGGGAAGCAAACAATATCCAAGGGTAATTCAGCTTGTCCATGAATCGACAATGCACTCTTATATGTTTTGGTTCATTATTGTAAAAATCATACTCGAACCTTTTTGCAATTGAGTAGTATTGAAGTGCTAATCTAACTTCACCAGCATTATCAAATTTCTGTCCATTTGCATGTATGGTCGTGTGCCACTCAGCTGGGATGTTGGTTTGGTTGTTAACTATGTCATGTATCATCATGATCGAGTCGTCAATAGGATTGTCATTATGAATACGCTCATTATTACATGGTTGGATGAGTGTAGGAACTATGTATCACGAATTTTCTGTTAGGATAGTCCTGAAAAAGTGATAAAAATGTTAATTATTATCTATCTAAAAAGGTTAACAAACAACTCGCAAGGTTAACAACCAACTTGTAACCTTAACAAATAACTCAAAACCTTAACAACTAACTCATAACCACCACAACCAACTCATAAGGTTAACAACCAACTCATAACTATATACTAATGTTGACAATCAACTCAAAATCGTAATATGCAATTCATAACCTCGATAACCAACTCGTAAAGTTAACAACCAACTCATAGCTATATACAAAGATTGACAATCATCTTAAAACCGTTAACCTACTCGTAACCTCCATAACCAACTCATAAGATTAACAACTAACTAATAACTATATATTAAGGTTGACAACCAACTCAAAACCGTAACAACCAACTTATAACCTCGACAACTAACTCATAAGAATTTTAGTGTAAATCCATTACGACGACAACACCCGAATATCAATTTCAAGCCCTCATCATTTTCAATGCAAAACTAAACTTTTTCCCCCTTTCGAATATGAATTTAAGTGAAAGAGATTGTAATGGTAGTTTATGTCTTTGGGACACTTGATACTTGAAGATAATGATTTGTGTAGACTCATTGATAACTATGAAAACACCCTCACCTTCTTCGTTGCTTTTTGCATTGTTACCATGCAAAGGAGGGATCCATCCGTTAATTTGAAGAAAAGTAATTGAATAATCAAAGAGAATTTATGAAGGAGAATTAAATGGCCGGGATAGAGTAGTTGGGGCAAGCAAAGAGGATTTATTGGAGGGGGAGGAGATAGAGGTAGAATATGGTTAGAATTGAGAGGGAAATGAGGTTTTCTTCCCTCCAAACCTCTTTCTAATTACAATTAATGCCTATAGTCTTATTTTCTCCAATGACCGGCTACTAGAGAGAGTGAGTGAGGGTACTTCTGGATCTTTTTTGAAAACGGGGTAACTTGGGGACTGGGTATGGGGGCTAAAGGTTATTGTATTTTGGGGATGGGGACTTCGAGGGCTTTGAAAAA